GGGCTTGCCGCTTGGGCAGGGCGCGTGGCTGGGGCTGGCTGCCCCTAAGTGAAGGGGGCGAGAGCAGCAGGGATGCAGCCAGGCCCCCAGGTCTGCTCCTTCCAGCCTCGCGCCCCCGCATTCACGCAGCCTCTGCCCCACTCACCTCGGGGCTTGGGACTAGCTTCCGAACCCAGAGCTCCCAGCTGCGCAGGGAAGGCTGGGCAGTGCTTGGGACGTTCCTCGGCCGTGACGGCAACAAATGCAAATCAAACCGGACCGCGGCGCGTTAGCTGCAGAGTTCAGGAGGCACCGAAACCTGCATCGGAACAGCGCCGTGTGCAAACGGCAGCAAGGAGCAATCGAAGCGGCGCTAACCACTGACCCTTACAGTCACAACTAAGTATTTCCTCCTCATTCCTGCGCCGGATAGCAGCTGCCATTCTACAGCATCCCCCCGTAACTATGCACGTCGCAGCTTGATCCCCGGGCTTAACCGTCAAGTGTCGACATCCCCCGGGGCCCAAGCCTGCTCGCTGTGTTGATTTTGCTAATCCTCCTGTGAAGGGGCAACCGCTGTGCGCACACCCGCACAGCTTGGCGTCTAGGTTTGTCTGGGGTGGTGCTCAGATAAACCCTGGCTGAAGAAAGAGGCGGCTGCATTGATTTGGAAGGACCCCTGTGTCTTACCCCAGTGGAGTGGCAGGGGCCAAGCCTGGGCCAGTCCACTGGCATGGCCCCCCCTTTGCGCCGGACGGAGCGACTGCCCCTCAAGGCAAAGCAATGCGCGGCGTGGAGCCTCCCCTTTGGATGCAGAAAACTCATTCTCAGGAATGCACGCGTGCTGCCCATCGCAGGCCCCTTGCGAAAGCCAGCGGGTGCATCTGGGGAAGGGCCAAACACAGTCACAGGAAACCCTGAAACAGACTGGAAACCCAGCTGCCTCTGCGAAGCCATTTCTGAGGTGAAAGAAAAGTACGTGCAATCTCTCTCCACCCCCTCGTTTGCAACGTACCTGGTTCTCGTCACCCCCCAGCTCTGGCCGAATGCCAGTGGGCGCAAACAGCCCTGCTCCCACAGGTCTGAAGACCTCTGGCGATCCTGCCTCCTTGTTCACGTTTACCATTGAATTTGAATGGAGTTCTGGTGGATAGAGAGAGATCCGCTGTGTCAAACTGCTAGGGGAAAGCGCATCTGTCTGGGGCAGCAGGACATCCAGGGGTGCAGCCAGTGCCATCGGAAGAAGTGGGTTGTGCCCACGGACGTGCACGATCCCATCCACACGTGCCGCTCGCCTGTG